AGTAGCATCCCTAGTGAATTATAAACGTGCAATGCATTTTATAGACCAACTACACATGCAATCTAATAATAATCTACATGTGAAATAAATATATAAGTATGCAGAATCACCCTATGGTGAATAAATACATTATATAGTGGAAAAATACCTAATATGTATTTATTCACCATAGGGTGATTCTGCGTATTTCTATATTTCTGTATTTACTTGACATGTAGATTATCTTTAGATTGCACATGTAGTTGATCTCAATTGCGCAGGGCATGTTTATAGTTCACGTTTTTTTAGGTGTTATATACAGTTTTTTAGTATGGCAGCTTAGGGGTTTGTTGTTCCATAGCACAGATCCTGTTTGTAATATTATCTATAGGTGCATCCCTAGTATTGAGAGTACAGGAAGCTTTGCTGCAGCCATACATAGAACTTGGTAATGACATTTTCTTTAAAAACTCTAAATCCTGCTTCAGCAGCTGTCAGGGTACCATGCACAGGCGTCCTCACACCACATGCAGGTACCCACGCAGGATGACCAAATTAATATGCCCACACAGGATAGGGTTCTATGCACAGTTTATTTGTTACCATCAAACAAAACTACTAACCCCCTCAACCCCCACAGGTTTAGCAGTGAAGAAACAAGGAGGGTAACAGGAGGGCAGCACAGTACAGGATTTAGGAAGAATGGTCAGGTACAAGCCAGGTCATTAACAGGAGGGCAGCACGGTACAGAAACAGGATCCAAGAAGAGTGGTCGGGTAACAAGCCGGGTCGGTGACAGGTCTGCAGCTAGGAAGCTGTGTTCAGGAAGCTGGGTTCAGGCATCAGTCAAGTGCAGGCGACGCAATACTGAGCCAGCTTCCTGACTGCAGGGAGGGCCTAAATACCCTCCCAGGAAGCACCAGGTGATGGGATGATCACTCACAGCTGGGGCACACCCGCAGGTGAGTACTGGAGCTGCACAGGTTCCTTACAGTCCCTGGCTGCTGGAGACACCCGCAGGCGAGCACAGGAACTGCAGGACCTGGCTCCAGCGCCACCTGGGGGTGCTCTGGATCCTGACAGTACCCCCCTCTCAAGGAGCGGACTCCGGACGCTCCCACAAAGTCCATCAGCAGCCTCGAAGTCCAAGGGCACGGAAAGCCTGCAAGGCCGCCAAGTCCACCATATGCCCCAGGGCCAAAGTTCGGGGACCGGCTGAGCACCCCCCCCCGCCAGGGTCAGGCATCAGGCCGAGCAGTCCACCACCCGGATC